CATATTTTTTGGCATTTTTTGCACAATTCTAGTTTTGGTAACATAACAAGGTCACATCGCCTCATAAATCTGTAGCACCACGACGGTGATCCAGTAAAATCCTGAATGCCTTTCTTTACAGCAATACATTTGGCTTCATTTATTATCATTTTTGTAGAGACTGGGAAGTCATTTTTCCGGTGACGTATGATCCATTCTTTCATGTCCACGTCTAACTGTGGCCACTTTACAGCATGCCCACGAAAAGTGTGCTTACTTTTATCTGCTTTTTGTAGCTGATCCTCTTGTTTCCTCCACTCTCTTATCATTTTTTCAGTTGGAGGTGGCCCAAAATGTCACTAGGCTCCTCTGTTTCTATGTTCCTTAGCATATTTTACTACCTCCAGTTTAAAAGGAATTTTGTATGCTAGTCTCTTCTGCTTTATCACCCTTGTATGTAGAATGAGGATGTGATATTTTTCTGCTCTTCATTGTTACAAGAGCACTGTAGCTGAGAATATTATCCCCCCCTTCCGTCAACTCAGGTCAACCAAAATTAAAAATAATAAACCTTGATGTACAAATAGCAGTGATGAGTTTGCTCTGCAGGGGTACAGATTCCTCGTGTGATGCAGTGAAGTCAGTTCAGCCCAGGCAGCTCATGTACACAGCACAGCAGTGCGGCCGCCAGCACTCGCTCCTCCCACGATGTGACGTGACCCGTGCAAACAGGCCGCGCTCATTCACTGAAAGGCTGACCTGGTGCTGCTGCACTGCTGACTCAGACTCCTCCTCTCTTCTGCCACAGAAAAGCTGAGCGGCCAGCCCCATATTCTAACACACGCGGCGGTGACGGGGGGAGGGGGGGAGGCCTGGTCAATATTCGCTCCATAAGACACACAGACATTTCCCCCCATATTTTGGGGGGGAACAGTGTGTCTTATGGAGTGAAAAATACGGTAACTTAAAATCCCCCTTCCAACGTTTAAATCAATAAAATAGGCTTTCATGTACATATAATGAATAAAATATTGTTGCGCTTATGAATAGAATCTTAATGCACAAGAACCGTATTTAAGCAGCAGTCCTAATTTGTGAACCTAAAACACAAAAAACAAACAAATACCATACGTATACACTAAACATAAAATATATATATACTTGAGATAATTACTACACATGTAGTAAATTGCTAATATTATTCAGTCTCAGTTCACCTGATAATACTGATCCCATTATAAGTTTGATTTCCCTTCCTGATCCCACCATTTCGGCTCTTTTTCATCTTGAGATGGCTCTATCGGTCCTTCCATCTACGGCTCCAACCGTGGACCTCTTGAGGCACGTCTGAAGTACGGTAAAAGCATCCTTTCATATTACTGCCTTTCTGTCCTGTACTCCCTTGTGGAACAATCTGCAATATGTAGAACTGGCTAAACTGCAGGTTTTTCACGACTGGAGGGATCAATGCCTGAAATTTGTATCTCAGCTGTATTTGGGGGCAATCCTATAGTCCTTCTCTCAACTGCAAATGGAATTTACATTTACACATAAACATTTTTATTGTTATCTTCAGCTCTGCCTTGCGATACAGGCTCAGTCTTCACTCTCTAATCTCATATTGAAGACTCAGTTTTTCTTAAGGATGTCATTCAGGCAACCCATAAGAAGAGGGCATGATTTCTTGGGTATACTCCCAGCTATTGTCCACAGTACAGGATCAAGCTAGTCTCCAGGGAATGGTGCTGTGGGTCCCGGGATATTGGAGAGTTTGCTGGAGATGTCTGGGATGCTGCCCTGGAATCTGTTCCGGGAATTTCTCTTTCTCCCTCTCATAAATTGTCTCAATTGTTTATTCTCCATCAAGCATATAGGACCCCTGCGCAACTGTACTGGTGGGGCAGGCGTGATTCACCTGATTGCCCGAGGTGTAGGGTCCAACAGGGTGATTTCATTCACATGCTCTGGCGCTGCCCCAAGTTGCATAGATATTGGAGTGAGATTCTCCAGTTTATATCTCTAGTATCGCAATATACTGTTCCCCAGGATCCCTTGCAATGTCTGCTTGGGGCACTGGACAAAGAACTGTTCTAACCAGCAGTATATATTATGGTATCTAGACTTTTATATCTGGCTAGGAAGTTGATAGCAAGGTACTGGTTATCATCTGCTCCTCCGACTAGTAAGCAATGGATATATTATGTTAATTCTTTACTCCCATGGGAGAAACTCACGTACCAACATCGCAACGCTTATTGTAAGTTCCAGCGGGTATGGCAGGGTTGGCTGGATACACCTGGGCTCGCCCCTCCTCAATTGATAGTGGACCGACTTTTGCAGGTGTGACATTTTATATCAGGTGTGTGGCTCCACTCCTCCTCCTGGGGGAGTTCATGTGCATCTTCCATTCTTTTTGATGAGACATCTCAGGTGAACCAGAGGTTGTTGTTGTGTTTTTTTTTTTATTGTTTGAAGGCATGTGTTGGGCTTTGTTCCTTTCCCCTATTTCTGTTTACATCTGGATGGGAAGGAATAAAAAGTAAAAAGGAAAAAGCAAGGTATTGTCAAGAAAGTTTTGGATCCTTGTGGTCTCTGTTTTGTTTGATTACTATTTCTGTTATTCTGTCCATTGCGGGATCTGCGTATCCATGTTGTTCTATTTATGTGTAATCCTGCTGTTGCAGTAATGTCATTGTGAATTCTGTAAGTACTGTATTTTCTCTATTATCTTGAAAATAAAAGTTGTTTGGATTAAAAAAAAAAAAAAGCTGTAGGTCAGTAGCACTAAGGTGTGCAAATAAAGTATTTTAATAATATAAAAATATTAGTAGTTTAGGATGCACAGTGGTTTAGCAAACTAAATGTCATTTAGTAAGGTTTTTTTTTTCTACTTTAAATAGCTGCATATATTTATAAGGATTTAACTCTATGCACCGTGAACACCAGAAATCAAATCATCTTATCTGCATACTTGCGCTGTGGACTTGGGTCAGTAATAGCAGCCAGGTGACTAGCATTTTCAGAACAAAGGTCAGCAATGGCAGTTCACATATTTTCTAAGTACAGGATTCCTGTACTACAGAATTCTTCCTAAATACTTCATTTGATTAGATAAGCTTACTTTTATCGGTAGTTAAAGGATATGCAATATTAATTGTGCAATTAAGCAGAAAAAAAAAATCGTCAAGTGCACACACCTGATAATATGTCAGTTTACAGCTAGTTTTTATATTGACTTATTTTCTACTTTAAAGATAATTGTGGTTTAATAACCAGAACAGTTTTACATATTTATCTTTAGAGTAAACATATAATTTCTGACAGGTTAGAAAACTGGCAGTGGAGGTTTAAAGCAGGCACTAAGAGATACTTACTGTGCATGCACATTAGCTTCTCTTGTCAGGTTCCCTAGGAGACTAAAATCCAGACTTGACTTTCTGGCCTGACTTTTGACGTTCATATCTTCTTTACTTAGGTCCCATTTATTCCTCTTAAAGTGTTACTAAACCCACAACAGTAAAATCAGTCTGTATATGCAGTAAAGCATGCTTGTTATACTCACTGTGGAACCTAAGGGGTTAATCATTTGCATTGTGTAAAAAGGCTACTTGATCCTGTCTTCTCTGATCCTCCCCTTCTTCTACTGTCCCCAATCCATCTGCTGACAGTACAGAGCACTAGGAGTCACTCTGCACATGCTCAGTTTAGTGTGAACTGGTAGAGATTTTTTTTCTTCTTTGGGAGGGTGCATGTGATCAGCACAGGGCCAATCCACACAGGGCCAATCCACACTATCCAGAGAGTCAGGGGTCCTGCAGCTTCATACGACAGTCAGAGCAGGATGAAAACTCCTCCTACAAGCTTTAACCAGTGCGCTGCTGAACATTGATAGATGTCACAAGACTGCTCTAACTGCTGATGAGAAAAGGTATTTAACAGTTTATATTTAATAAAGGTATTTAACAGTTTATATTTAACCCTACCTGTACCCTAACCCTAGGTTCACACCTAAGTGTTTTCCGCAGCGTTTTTCAGAAACGCACTACAGTCCATTTAACTTGATTTCCTATGGGACATGTTCACATCTCCACGTTTTTCACCCAGTGTGTGTTTTGGAAAGGGTCAAGGACTTTTTTAAACACAAAAAGGTTTTGGTTCTATAGACTTCAATGGAATTGCTGCAGAAAAGCATGTAGTGCATTCTTGCTGCGTTGTTGCTGTATTTTGCATTTTAATCTGCCTAGCAACAAGTAAAAAAAAAAAAGCTAAAACGCAGCAAAAACACATGTGCAAAAAACGCAATACGTACCACAAAAAAGCACTGCAGAAAGTGATCAAACGCAAACTGCAGAGGTGTAAACCTAGCTTAAAATGGACTGTGTGTATGAACACCTTAACCAATTGAGCTCCAGAGGATTTACCCCCCTTAACCACTTGCCTACCAGGCACTTATACCCCCTTCCTTACCAGGCCAATTTTCAGCTTTCAGCGCTGACGCACTTTGATTGACAATTGCGCGGTCATGCAACATTGTACCCATATGAAATTTTGATCATTTTTTTCTCACAAATAGAGCTTTCTTTTGGTGGTATTTAATCGCCACTGGGCGCTTTACTTTTTGCGCTATAAATTAAAAAAAGTGCAAAAAATTTGAAAAAAAAAAAAAGTTTATTTGTTTCTTTATAAAATTTTTCAAACAGGCATTTTTTCTCCTTCACTGATTTGCGTTGATGAGGCGGCACTGATGGGCACTGATAGGCGGCACTGATGGGCACTGATAGGCAGCACTAAAGGGCACTGATAGGCAGTACTAATGAGGTGGCACGGATAGGCGGCACTGATAGACAGCACTAATTAGGGGTCACGGATAGGCGACACTGATATGCAGCACTGATAGGCGGCACTGATAAGTGACACTGATGATGGGTACTGATAGACGGCACTGACTGGCATCACTTCTGGGCACTGACTGGCGGCACTGACTGGCACAACCCTGGGCACTGACTGGTGGCACTGACTGGCAGCACTGCTGGGCTGCACTGGTGGGTGGCACTGGTGGGCAGCACTGGTGGGTGGGCACAGGTGGGTGGGTGGCACTGGTGGGCACAGGTGGGTGGGCACAGGTGGGTGGCACTGCTGGGCACATGTAGGTGGCACTTCTGGGCACAGGTAGGTGGCACTGCAGAGTGGCACAGGTGGGTGCAACTGCTGGGCACAGGTGGGGGCACTGCTGGGCACAGGTGGGGGCAACTGCTGGGAACGGGTGGGCGGGGTGGAGGGACTAGTGGGCGCACTGCTGGGCGGAACTTGCGGGTGTCACTGCTGGGCACCGATCATCAGGGCACTGATCATCAGTGCCCTGATGATCGGTGCCGATCCCCGCTCTGACAACTGCCGGTTCTCGGCAGTACTTTCCTCACGATCTGACAGCGTGAGGAAAGTGCAGCCGAGAACCGGCACTTGCATTTCCCTGTGATCAGCGTGTCATTGGACACCGCTGATCACGTGGTAAAAGGCCGGGGATCGGCCTTTCACCACATCACGTGATCAGCTGTGTCCGTAGGACACAGCGATCAACGGAGATCGCCGGGTGCGCGCCCCCTGGGGCGCGCAGGAGAGCGCGTTCTGGGAGGACGTCATATGACATCCACTCAGAACTGGCCGGCCGCGGTGAAGCTGTCATTCGGCTATGCGCGGTCGGCAAGAGGTTAATGACCAGGCCTCTTTTTGCTACTCGGTGCTGCACTAATTCAACTGATAATTGCGCGGTCATGCAATGCTGCACCCAAACGAAATGTACGTCCTTTTTTTCACACAAATAGAGCTTTCTTTCGGTGTAATTTGATCACCTGTGCGCTTTTTATTTTTCACGCTATAAACAAAAAAAGGCCAAAAATTTTGAAGAAAAACAATATTTTTTACTTTCAGCTATAAAAAATATATAGTAAACTCAAAGTTGGTTATAAATTTAGGCCAAAATGTATTCTGCTACATGTTTTTGGTAAAAAAAAATCCCAATAAGTGTATATTGATTGCTTTGTGTGGAAGTTATAGCGTCTACAAACTATGGTATAAATACTGCAATTTATGCCATTTTTCTGCTATACAGCACTGCTCTAGTTTAATGGACAATTGCGCGGTCATGCAATACGGTACATAAATTAAATTTACATTCTTTTTTCCCCACAAATTGAGCTTTCTTTCGGTGGTATTTGATCGGTTTTTATTTTTTGCGCTATAAAAAAAAAAAGTCTGACAATTTTGAGGAAAAAAAAATAATATTTTGGACTTTTTGCTATAAAACATGCCCAGTAAAAAAAAATGTAAAATTCAAATTTAGTCATAAATTTCTGCCAAAATGCATTCTGCGACATGTCTTTGCTAACGAAAAAAAAACGCAATACGTGTAAATTAATTGGTTTACGTGAAAGTTATAGCGTTTACAAATGGCGGGAAAGATACTGGGATTTTTAGTTTTTTTTTATACTAATAATGGCGGCGATCAGCGAATTATGGCGGCGATCAGGGACTTATGGCAGCGACCAGCGACTTATGGCGGGACTGCGGGACTGCGGCGGACATTCTGACATTGGGGGGGTACTGACTTGGGGTCACTGACATCCTAACACTAATACACTAAAACACTAATACAGTGATCAGTGCAAAAAAAAAAAACATGACACTGTACTAATGGCAATGGGGAGGAAGGGGTTAACTTTATTTAGCAGGGAAGGGTTATAGGAGTGAGGGGAGTGTTTTACTAGGGGGGCGGGGGTGTGTACTGGGCGGGACAAGGCTGATCGAGAAAGAGAAACTCTTCTTTCTCGATCAGCTCATCCTCGAGCTGACAGGGAAGTGACAGACAGCACAGCTACTGCAGCTGTGCTCTCTGTCACTGTTTGCCGCCGATCGCCAGGGCCTAGCCGCAGTGACCCGGCGACTGACATCTGCGGCGGTGATCCGCGGGACAAATAGGGCGGCGGCGCGTCTTGTGCGCACCCCCTATTTGTTTACAAAACACACGTTTTTAAAACGTGGCTTTGCCTGTGAGTGCCGCCCTGCCGCCGTATATGTACAGTGGCTGGGCGGCATGCGGTTAACAATGAACTTCCCTTATCTGATTTATTTGGTAAGTATATGATGGTTTTGTATATATACCCATTTAAGCATTTTGTTATATCAGTTTCATAAGTGCGAAAAAATACTTGTTGATCCTGCCAAAAATCTTGTTAGCTGATAATTTCCTGTGCTGGCTGCCGATGCTGCACTGTTATTAGTTACATTGTTCCTAGCTATCTGTAAGGATCTCTCCCCTCTGTATTAAAGAGATGAGAAGAGAAGGGGGGGGGAGGTTCTGTAGTCTTGTTCTATGGTGACAATCCTGCTTCTCCATACAGTGAGCAGGACCGGACTGGCCATAGGGCACACCGGGCATTTGCCCGGAGGCTTGAGGCCACCGTGCTTAAGAAGAGCGGCCTGTTGATGACCGGGCCTCTCAGCAGGAGATGAATGGTGACCGTGGCCTGGACAGGGCTAACACAGACTGTGGCCGCAGCTCACCTCCACTATGCGGCTATGCCTAAAGCAGGGCCAACAGGAGAGACAGAGATGGCTCCAGCTGCAAACAGGAAGTGCCTGCAGGGGATACACAGACACCTCCCCCCGGCCAGCCACTGCACACACAGCTGCACTGAAGGGACAACGGCGGCCTCTCTTTTTCACAGCCGGCACACTGTGAATGCTCTGTAGCGGTGGTGGATGGGATATCTCTTTTCTGGATGAGCTATCTCTTTGCTGCATGGGCTGTCTTTTTGCTGGATGGGCTATGTCTTTACTGTTCAGGCTGTCTCTTTGCTGGATAAACTGTCTCTTTGCTGGACGGGCTGCCTCTTTGCTGGTTGAGCTGTGTCTTTGCTAGATGGGCTGTCTCTTTGTTGGATGGGCTGTCTCTTTGCTGGCTGGACTGTCTCTGTGCTAGCTGGGCTGTCTCTGTGCTGGATGGGCTGACTCTGTGCTGGATGGGCTGTCTCCTTGCTGGGCAGGATGTCTCTTTGCTTGATGAGCTGTGTTTTTGCTGGTTGAACTGTCTCTCTGCTGGACAGGATGGCTCTTTTCTGGGCGGGCTGTCTCTTTGCTGAATGGGATGTCTCTTTGCTGCTTGGGATGGCTCTTTGCTGTATGGGGATGTCTTTTTGTTGGATGGGCTGTCTCTTTGCTCGATTGGGTCGAGTAAAGAGACAGCCCAATCAAAAAAAGAAACATGCCAGTCCAAGAAGGGAAATCCCCACCTAGCAAAGAAGAGACATCCCTGTCCAGCAAAGAGACATCCCATCTCTTTGTGGATTGGGATGTCTCTTTGCTATATGGGAATGTCTCTTTGCTGGGCTGGGCTGTCTCTTTGCTATATGGGGATGTCTATTTGCTGGTCTGCACTGTCTCTTTGCTATATGGGGATGTCTCTTTGTTGGCTTGGTATGTCTCTTTGCTGGATTGGGCCACCTCTTTGAATATATAGGGGGAACTGTGATTAGATCTCTTGGTACACTGTAATGTAAAGGGGCACTGTGATATAAAGGCATGGTGATATAAAGGGGACTGCGCTGTAATTGGCACTGTGAATATTCCGTCACCAAATGCCCCTGCGAACACCCTTGCACCCCCCTGGGGAAAAATTGGCTGCTCAGCCTAAAATGCCTGGGCCTATTTTTTGTCCCAGTCTGGGCCTGACAGTGAACATCATTGTCGCTATCAGAGTACAATTACCTAGTGGACAGTGGTGTAGATGGAGGAATCCCTAATTTTATTTTTCACTCAGCTCACCGGCTGAGCACAAAAAAAAAAACTAACCATCTATGGCCACTTCCCCACTTCTGCAGTGTTGTCCTAAATTTATATATTCACCTGCCCAGTGAGTGTTCTCTCACTTCGTTCCACTGCTCAGGTGTTACAGCCTTGGTGACCTAGGTCCTATGTCACCATCTTGGTCCCAGAAGAGGCAGCCGACCCAAGGCAATACATGCCAGGTCCACTCACTGAATGCTTTATGTACTGCTCCTGATGTCTTCTGGATATGTGTGATGTAGATATCCCAGGAGGCTATGAGAATAAAAAAAATGTGCATAAATGCATAACTAAATTACTTAATTAATGCATAAAGAAATAATCACCAATGGTTGGTGTTTCACTTTGGGGCTTTACCTTAAGTGACTTAATTGGAACAATGGCTTATTATGTGTGTCTTTTCAATTCTGAAACACTGAAAGTGGAGTTTCAGCAGTTTTTGCGTTTATTTAAAGTCAGGAGCTACAAAATCTGTAGCTGCTGTCTTTTAATATTAAAACACACACTTACCTGTCCCAGAGCCCAGTGATGTTCTCACCCGCGCCATCCCTTCTCCCCTTCTCTCCTCCACGGTGCTGGCATCTCAACTGTGGGCACCAGGCTGTGACAGCTTGCGGCTTCACAACCTGGTGCCTACTGCACATGCGTGAGTTGCGCTGCACCTCCTAATTGGTCCAGCAGTCTCCTGGGACCTGTGAAAATTCCCTGCAGACTGCAGGAGAGAGGAGGGGGCTGAATTTCTGGCGCAGTCCGCAGGGAACTGATCCTGAAGTGGTAGCAGGCGCCTGTCAAAAGCAGGTACCCACTCCCCCAAAAGGTGCTAAATATGGCAGTGGAGAGGGGGAGGAAGCAAATAAGTAGAGCTTCCGATTTTAAGTGGAACTCCACTTTAACTGGAAAGCTAATGATCCACATCTAGATTCCTCCCAAAAATGTTAAAGGGGCTCTCTTTTGCACTCTGAAGCCTATCTTCTGAGAAAGCAAATTAGTCCAATTTGAGGTAACAACCCTTTTTAATTGCCTGAAAGGGCTGTCAGCCATAACATTAATGTCTAAGTCGTCAGGACTTATGACTAGCAGCACTGAGGTCATTGGTTCAAATCCTGCCCAGGACACTATCTGCATGGAGTTTGCACTATCTGCTTGTGTGGTTTCCTCTTACACTCTAAAGACATGCTAACAGGTTAATCACTGAATTTGTTTACATGTGTACTCCCTGTCTGGTCTAAGGAACACCTTCTATTGAATGGTCTTGTTGGCAGACCAACATTCAACTATGTTTTCTGATGGGGGGAATCCCCTCTGTCAGAATACAAAGCACAATGGGGGAAATCCCTGCATCCACATCACTCGAGTTGTAGCAGGTATCTGTCAATTCCTTTCTGTTCAACCTGCTGGGTAAATGAAAAAAGAAATATATATGTGTGCATACCCAGCTTAAAATTGGCCTTAATATGATATTCTACACAGTGCACCCAAGGTGGCTGCCTCAACTGTTATATGCCC